CGATTGTCATCAGTGAGTTACTATCTCACAACTGACCCGGTTGAACTCCACTAACCACTGCTTCTCACTAGAACTCCAGGATATACATTTTGAAACCATTCACGAGTGAGCATATGTTGATTATTATCAAAAAGGGGTTTTATGGAGACTTTAGTTTTAATGTAGAAATCTACATGAACCACAAGATAGTTTATTACATAATCAATCGATTAACTTAAACTAACCATTTATTACTGATTAGAGATTTTGTAAAAAGAAAACAACACTTCTTGATGATCAAAACCGATAATTGATTCATTTATGTAGGTGGGATAAATGCTTGGAAATGTATATTCTATTGAATATTTGATGAGGTAATTATTAGAATACAAATAACTAAATACCTCTGTAACTATAAATAAATAGATATTCATTATTACCGAAAGGAACTTTAATATAGTTATGATAATTTTTATAGTCTATTCTAATTTCTTAGACTGCAAATAAATTAGGTGACTATATATATCCGATTACAATATTGAGACACTTATCCACTAGTTGTGTGGTGTATACTACTGATCTCGATAAGTATAAGTAGTATGTATCATCAATCGAAAGTGAGAAGTATGACGACAGAAGGTTGAGAAGATTGAAGAAAAGAGAATGCTTGATATGGAGTCGAACTAATAATAAAATCTGAGACAATTGATTAATATTTTACAAATGAAGTATTTACTGCATGGTACTCAGATCTTATTAAGTGATTATGTAATTTTGTATTCAAATACATTCGATTGTTTCCATTAGTGTTCTTGTTCATTAAAATTGTACTAATTAGATGAAACTTTCATCATTTCATTGTTTTTTCTTTAAATGTGAACCTTCCAAATAATGAGTGTCTTGTCAGTTTATCGATTTTAGAAAAAAAGAATTTTACATGACAGTGCTAATGTAGTTGTGAGGCCCTTAATTTTGTCGTCATTTAGATCGGATGATGTTGTTGAAAGGGCCCTCCACTTTATCAGCCCGAGATCTGACTCTAAATAGATCGTATGAATGATTTCTTTCGAAATGTATATGTCGTCTATCCTCGTATATAATCATAGACTTAAAAAGCGTTAGTCAATAACGGAATTCTCTATAAGTCAAATAGTGACAATGGACTTTGGAATACACATATTTTGTATATGAAGCGAATGGAATAACAGAAAAGCAAAATGACGAGCAGTGGAGATGACTGGTAAGCCAACCCAACTCCCTTTTAACAAAGCGTTAATCAATAGTTAAAGTTACACAAAATTAAGTACAGACATGTGATGAGTAATGGGATAAGAAGTGTATACACACCTATGCGCTCATATAAAAGCAGTCAAGATTGATAAGCGAATAATTAACAAGTTCAGAATGTGACTCAAGCAGAATGAATAGATTGAGCTGTCCGAAAGCCCAGAATAATGTATATGGGCTTAATTGAATAACCGACACTACACAATATTTGTTTACTAACAAAGTCACATCAAGTATAATATACTGAATTGACTAGTTTATTTCTACCAGTGAGTTGTTTAATTAGTGTCAGGATTGTCTAAATCTCTATTCGAATTAAACATTTCGTTGCTCACTTGTGATAAGTAATGAATGATTGATGACTGTGAAGAATAGGATAAGCTAAAATAACCAAATATATATGTGATTGCTTAGTCTCTTATTGGCATATATGCATACTGTACAGATGGCTTCGATATTTCATTTGTTCACAAGCATTTTTAAGCGAAGATGGATAATGGCTAACAATGAAATCCAGTTTGACGCGCATTTCGTTCTATTTCGGACTCGTCAGTTAGATGTACCTACAATCCCGGAGTTAATATTCACTCTAGGACTCGAACCTAGTACCGTTCACTTCAAAAGCCATCGTGTTATCTATTTAGCGACTAAGTCCTAACAGCCACTTGCTTGTGCAATTGGGATGAAGTTTAAATTCGTTTGGTATTATTTACTAGAATCTTCCCATTGATAACTAGAACTTTAATTAATCAGCCTCTTATTGACATATGCATCCTGTGTGGACTGCCTCGATATTGCCTTTATCCATAAGCATTATAATCAAAGATTACTAATATGTTGATTTGTTACTATAAAGTCAAAACGTTTGTTACTATCACCAATAAATCCTTTCTTTTTGTTGTTGTTGCTGAGATTAATAATCAAACAAAACAAAAAAAAACAAATTGAACTTCTCACCTTTACTTCTATAACATTGAAAGCTTAACTTGGAATAGTAAATTAGTAAAGATCCATAAAGAGATTACAAATAAATAAGTAATATATAGATAGATGAATATTTGTAAGCCTTGCTTATTATTATTTATTCAAAGATTATTCATTTATTTCTACAGTTAATTAACGAAGTTTATAACAATATTGATTGAGAAAAGGTTCTTTTCTTTAAAAAAAATTTTCTTTTTGTTTTTCTCTCTTTTATCCTTTTCTTATTTGAAAAAAAAGAGGAAACATATTCTAGAGACAAGATGTACTTTTCAATAGTTAATATTAGAGAGTATTGTGTATTTTATTAGTTGAGATTATGAGTCAATTGAAGTTAGACCATTATAGAAAATCTGGAAGTATTGGATGGCTATTTTGTCCTATTATAAAACTCTTCAGCAGTGCGTATCCACCATTCCACCCAGGATATATTGGTCTTGTACGTATGTGGATTAGTTGAAGTTAGACATCAAAAAAACATTAGATGCTGGTTCACTGGTCTACAGATGAAGCGTTTGCGTGCATAACCGATTTTGAGTTGAGTTGCAATTTTGTACTGCTTAAATATTTTAACGGATAACAAAAGTTTCAGTATTGTGTGGTTCATAAAATGTTGTGAGGTTATAAAGAGACAATATAATTTGGATTTTAGTTATTGAGTTATATAATGAACTGGTAAATATGAGTGATTTTCAAAAGCAGGTATTCTAGGTTATTTATTACGAAGTCACAGTTGGATCTAACTATTAAGGTTACAGATTTGATAGTCATCATAACTAAACCATTGCTTATTTTAATTTCTTCATTAAATTTTGTGTATAATTTATCAACACTTAGTAGAATGATGAAAATTTTGAACAACTTATCAGATCAATGTATATTCGTGTTACAAATATTTAGATGCAGATATATCCAGCTGACGAGTTTCAAATAGGACGAAACGTACATACTGGATTCCACTGTTAGCCACTATCAATCTTTTCTTATAATATTTGTGAATTAAAGCTAAATCTAGACAATGCGCACAGGATGCATATGTCAACAATAGAATGATCAATTTCAGTTCTAAATATCAATGGGAAGATTCTAGTACACAATATCAAATAAATTTAAACTTGACCCCATCACACAACCAAGTTGCTATTGGGACTTAGTAGTTAAGTAAATAATGGATGTCGTTTTAAGCGAAATATTGTATGCGGGTACTAGAATGAACATCAACTCTAGGATGCAAGTGCATCCAGCTTTTACTGGGGCTCTTCCCTTTGACATCAAATAGACCACACGATGTTGTCCACGGGCTCACCACTTTAGTGGCCCGATATCTAACTCCCATAATATCGTATGGATGATTGTTACTGAAGTATACATATCGTTAATGCTTGTATATAATCATCGAATTAAATCGCGTTAGTGAATAACGGAATAATAATAAGTCAAACACGAGAATGAACTTCGAATACGTATATTTTCTGCAATCATTGATCCAGGCAGACGGTCAAAAGAGTGAAGCGAATCGAAATGATGCGCTGTGGAGAAGGCAAGTGAGCTAACTCGAATTAATCAAGTATTAATTAAAATTTATAGTCACACAAAAATAATCTACAAATATGTGATGAGTAGGATAAGGAGTGCACATAGATATATGCGCTCGTATAAAAACAGTGCAGATTAATAAAGAAATAATTATCAGTAGGGGTTTTTGTGGAGATTTTAGTAATTCCAATAGTTGAAGTCATGAGTCTATTGAAGCTTGACCATCATAGGAATCCTGGAAGCACTGGACGGCCGTTTCGTCCTAGTATGGAACTTCACAACAGTGTGCGTCCACGATCCCGCCCTACGATTGGTTGAAGTTAGACATTAACACCTTTGGATGACGGCTCAATGATCTAATGGTTAAGCGCTCGCGTGCGAGACTGATAGGTCCTGGATTCGAGTCTCACTAGGGGCGGGATCCTTGATGCACAGTACTGAGGAGTACCACAATAGGACGAAACAGTAATCCAGTGCTTTGAGGTTCTCCATGGTGATCTAGCTTCAATTGACTCATGATTTAAGCAAACAATTACTAAGGTTACATTGTGACTCAAATAGAATGAATAGATTAGCCTGTCCGAAAGCCATAATAATGTATATGGGCTCAACATATAACCAACACTACAAGTTGATGAGTCCTAAATAGAACAAAACTAACCATTTCTGATTCCACTTTTAACTACCATCTATTTTTACATGTAATTATTTCTAACATCAAACTCATTATTAGTTATTATTAATCATACTACTTATAATACTCATCACTATAGGGTTAAGGTTAGACGTTAACACCATTGGATGCCGATTCAGTGGTCTAGTACGTTTAGCGTTCGCACGCGAGACTGAACACCCTGGGTTCGAATCCCACACACAAGCTCGTCGATGCGCATTGTTGAGCTGTCCCACAATAAGACAAAACAGCCGTCCAGTGCTTCCAGTTTGTTTTTTTCAATGACGGTCTAACATCAATCAATTCATAATCTCAACCAATTACTTATCATACATTTTATAAATCATAAATTACATTCAACTTCATCCATCATTCATTCATTTATCTAATAGACAGATGAATTAAATGAATGATAAATGTTTATCGGTTTCTTTCATCATTCAATCAATTACATTCAATGTATGATTTTAACTTAAAATGAAACTATTTTTTCCCGTTTTTCTTTTTGTTTTTTCTTTTTTGTTCGTTGATTTTTATTGAGTAGATCAATTTGAAAAAAGAATAAAAACTTTAAAAAAAATAAACAAGTTTTTTTAAATTTTTGGTTGTCGTTGCTGAATAGAATTGATAATCAATCAATATTTCAATCAATCAATCAATCAATAATCTTTTTTTTTTATAGTTTAGTTTTATAAAAGAAAAAATACGAAGACAAGCAAAAAAAGAAGAAAAACTTCATTGAAATTTGTGAAAATAAAATTTCATGGAACCGGTTTATTTTATGGTTTAATTTATTTTTTTTGTTAATGTTATACTTACTTACTTAGTTACTTACGCCTGTTACTCCCGATCGAGCATAGGCCGCCGAACAGCATTCTTCAACCCACTCTGTCCTGGGCCTTCTTTTCTAACTCCATTTAATTTTTGTTCATTCTTCTCATATCTATCTCCATTTATCGGCATAATGTTTTTTCTTGGTTTTCCTCTTTTCCTTTGGCCTTGAGGATTCCATGTGATGGATTAACTTGTGATGCATTTGGGTGCTTTCCTCTATGTGTGTCTTATCCACTTACAGCTCTCTTTCTTAATGTCTTCCTCCACTGAGATCTGGTTTGTTCTTTCCCACAGTAGGTTGTTGCTGATAGTGACCGGTCAACGGATCCGAAGAACTTTGTGTAGACAACTGTTAACAAACACTTGTATCTTCTGGATGATGGCTTTAGTAGTTCTCCAATTTCCACCCCATACAGTAGAACTGTTTTGACATTTGTATTGAAAATCCTGACCTTGGTGTTGGTTGACAGTTGTTTTGATTTCCAGATGTTCTTCAATTGTAAATATACTGCTCTTGCTTTGCTGATCCGCGCCTTCACATCTGCATCAGATCCACCATGTTATTCAATGATGCTGCTCAAATATGTAAATGTTTTTACATCTTCCAAATCTTCTCCGTGAATTATGATTCGATTGTTGCACGCTGTGTTGTATGTGGATATATGTGGATGTTATAGTGATTATTATTAGTTAAGATAGCCGTTGGATAGCCATTTCATTCTATTGTGGAACTTTTCAACAGTGTATATACACGATCTTGTCTGGCAAAATTTGAACCAAAGATCTATCGGTCTCGCCTGTAAGCACTTAACCTCTAGACTATTGGGTTGGCTGGCATCCAATGGTGTTAATGTCTAACTTCAATTAGTCCACGAAATTGAGTCACACATTCACCATTGTTATCAGTGGGGTAGTATTTTACAACAGATTTGGTTAAACCCACTGATCACTGATTCTCACCAGAACTCCAGGATTTACCTCGTGAAACCAGTTACTAATAAGCATATATTCATTAGTAGCAGAAAGGTTTCTTTGTGTGGATATTAAAGTAATTTTAATAGTTGAGATCTTGAGTCAATTGACGTTTGATCACCATGGAAAGTTTATAGGCATTGAACGGCCATTTCGTCCTATTGTGGGATTCCCCAGCAGTGGACGTCCACGATCCTGCCTCATTGTCAAGTTCTACCAGCTTTTCCTTAGTGGTCTAGCTTCAATTGGTTCATGATCTCAACTATTAAAAAAATTGTTCAGTTATTAAATTTACTTAATATTCTTTATTTGCATAGTGTGTGGACCGTCTTGATATTATCCTAAATCACTAGTATTATAAACAAAGATGAATGGTGGCCAGAAATGGAATCCAGTACGTGCGTTTCGTTTTATTTCAGACTTGTTAGCTGGATGTACCTGTATACCAGAGATGACGTTCACTCTGGGACTCGAACCCAATAATGTTCACTTCAGACACCATCGTGTTATCCACTTAGTTACTAAGTCTTGATAGTCACGTACTTGTACAATGCGGTTAAGTTTAAACTCAGTCAGTAAAGACTATGGTATCCGTGTGGATCAACTTCTTGGATTGATTGAAGTTCGATAATAACACCGTTGGATGCAGGCTCAGTGGTCTAAACTTTAAACCTTTGTGTGAGCGATCAATAGGTCCTGGATTTGAATCGTAAAGAGTGGGATCGTGAGCGAGCACTGTTGAAGAGTCCCATGCTAGAGCGAAACGATCGTCCAGTACATTCAGGTTTTCGATGGTGGTCTAGCGTTATTTCGTATGGTTTACTTAAATCTATATTATATATTCCTTATCATAAAAAATCTAATCAATTTTTCGGAACATTGATGCATCATTCATTTAGAGTGTCTGTAGACTTTTGTTTTTGTTTTTGTTTTTCAGATTAACTTAGTTGATATATGATTTTTTTAAAATGTTTTTTTAATATTTCGATATTGTTTAATTTGTCATAGTCCTCCTACTAGGTATTCAGATATTCTTTTTTGTTTGTTGCGTAGAGACTAATATCAACCGATTATTATCAAAGATCAGTAATAATGAGAAGATGAGGGTTGTGTTGTACTTTTAAACTCTACATCATTTTAATGAACAAAACTTAAATAAAAATCTCCCGAGCGGGATCGTGAATGCGCACTGCTAAGGAGTCCCACAATAGGACAAAACGGCCATCCAGTGCTTCCAAGTTTCCAATGGTGGTCTAACATCAATCGGTTCATCATCTCAATCAAAAACTTAACAATCTACACAACCACTATACTGATACTTAAATAAGAAATTGAACCTAAGATCTTTAATTTTTACAATGAACAAGATCTATTTAGGTTATTGAATTTATAACAATTAAATGTGATATGCTTTAGGTAATTAATGATACGATGCAACAACCATTCATTCCTATTGATGATAACTTCCAAACTCTATACATCATTGAGTTATATCAGTTGTATTTTCTCTAAAACATCTGATATCATTTCAACATAAATCAATAATGAACCATTAGATGTGGTAAGCCTATCTTCAAATAAAAGCTCCCTATTTGTTCATACTTTATCACATACATAGTGAAGTTTTAAAATAACATTATTCGAAGTAATCTGTTCTCTATTATTAGTTCAACAACGTAATAATATAAGTTTTATCTTAAATAACAATATCCAAAAGGAACGACATACTGTGGTTTGTACTACTAATGTCAACATGTATGAGTGGTATGTATCATCAATCAGAAGGTAAATATCTGGAGACAGAAGGTTAACAAAATTGGAGAAAGGTGACTGAGAATAGAACGAAGGAAAAATGAGATCTGAGACGATTGATTGACATTTTGCAAATGAAGTATTTACTGTATTACTTACTTATTTACGCCTGTTACTCCTCGTCGAGGAGTATAGTCCGCTCACCAGCACACTCCATCCAACCCTGACCTAGGCAATCCTTTCCAGTTGTTATTCATCCTTTTCATATCTGATACTATTTCCCGATGTATTGTGTTCTTTGGCTTTCCTGTTTTTCGCATCCCTTCATTCCATGTTAGTGCTTGACTCGTGATGCAGTTTCATGATTTCCGTGATGTATGTTCTATCCATTTCCATCGTCTATTCCAAATTTCCTCTTGAGTTGGAATCTGGTTTGTTCTCTCCTACAAAAGGCTGTTGCTGATGGTATCCGGCCAATGGATGTTGAGTATCTTACGTAGACAACTATTTGTGAATACTTGTATCTTCTTGATGATGGTTGTTGTAGTTCTCCAAGTTTCAGCTGCGTACATTAGAACTGACTGTGTTGACGTTCGTATTGAAGATTGTGACTTTGATATTGGTTGACAGACAGTTCTTTTATGTTCTATATGTTCCTCACATTTAATGTACGGTACTCAGATTTTACTAAGACATTCTATAATTTTGTATTCAAATACATTTGCTTGTTCCTACTTGTGTTCTCGTTCACTACAATAACACTGAGTTTAATAATTATGAAATAATACTCATTCGTTGAATAAAATTAAGTGTATAGTTTAGTAAACATGATACAGATTACAAAGCAATTAAGTATATCTTCTATGTTGATAAAACCTAAAAAACCTTACTACTGAGTTAAACTTCCAGTAGTGTTTTGTAATTTTGATTTAAAGATTCCAAATTAAACTCGTCTTTAAAATTGATTGGTCCCTGGGTAGTGAATTATGACCAGTGTATCAGGTTCTCCTTAGTTTCCCGTTGATTGCTTCTAAACACCATCTTATCTGAGCATAGTGAAGGTAATGTCCAGTCACCTAGACTAGTGACTACATTGCAACTTGATTGATAGAATTCGATCTGCACTAAGGATGATCTGACATATTTGACACTGATCACTACCCAGTGACTAGTCAACTATCAATACCTCTCAGCCTTACAGGAGGTCAGTTGTCGTCCTGATAATCTAGTGGTAACGTCTCTGACTGTGAAGCTGTGTGACACGGGATCCAATCCATCAGGACGCATTAGTTCAGTCAAGATTACAGGTACACCTTTTTGACGAGTGACAAACAACAACATGAAACCCCGGTCCAAGGTATCTTATCGACTATCTCCAACCATTATCTCACAGACTCATCTGTTTTTTTCTTTCTTTTTTCTTTCCGTTATTTTAACTCCACCAATCATTAAATCACATCTTAATTGATCTATTAAGCGAAGTAGACTTTCTTCAATGAATTTTCTTTATTTGTATTTATTGACATCTATTACCAGTGATTAATTAGATTTATGCATAATATACTACTGATATATTTTCAACTTGAAATCGAACAATAGTTAAGAGAGAGAGAGTTATTTCATAAGAACTTCATTTGTAATCAGAGTTTCATTATGATTTCGATATTTACAAGCATATAATACTTATAAACAATATCAATTTCATATTATCACTTTATAATATATATACGGGATGGGTTCGCTAACTGCATACCCAACCCTCCCCATTTATCCGGGCTTAAGACCGGCAGTAGTCCATGAAGAGCTCCAGGCGGAATTAATCCCTTATGTTAACGTAACTCTACTAATCATATATGTATATATAGGAGCATGATATTGCCTAAGGCAATGAAAATTATTTGCATATTACTGACAAAATATATAATGTCACATCATTATAGCATGATTGAATATGACCTTATATGAATGCGAATACTATGCCAAAACAAAACGATGTATACTGTATAATATGTTGAATAACAGCAAAACAAGTCTAACATATATATAAATATATCAGGGAACCTATTCATATTTCATTTATAAACGAAATATTATCTTCATGATGCATAACATTGTTCATCTATTCAATGGAATATCATATTATAATAAAGAATGATATCGTTGAAATGAATAACAAAATTCATTAAATATAATGAATTCACTATGTAGTTAAAGGTTTCTTATCCAATGTAAACAACTTTAAGTTACAAGTAGTAGTATTATGATAGATCAGGGTTGATAAAGAAGAGATTGGGACATTAGAGAGAAACATATTATATACAATGCATAATTGTTAAGATGAATCATTACTTTCGTTATTAATTACTTATTACTTACGCCGGTTACTCCTTATGAAAGAGCATAGGCCTCTCATCAACATTCTCCATGCAACTCTGTCTTGGGCAATCCTTTTGAGCTCTTTTCAGTACTTTTGTTATAGTGAATATCATTAAATTGAAACAATTGAAAAAGCCAGAATATTAGATTCTGGATTAGTGACCAGTTGGTTAATCATTCACCATATGATCTAAATATCGTGAGTTTGATCCCTTGTCTTATAGTGGATTCACAATGTTGACTAGACATGTAATTTAAGGAAACAACTCTCCAAGAGATTATTAGCTTTTAACAATTTAACAATTAATTGTGATCCGTGATGTTAACTAGAAAATTGACTCATGACCACAACTATTAAAATTACTATATTATCCACAAAATACCGCATTAGTGACTGGTTTCAAGAGGTATTTCCTGGAGTTCTAGTGAGAAGCAGTGATCAGTGAAGTTCAATTGGGTCTGTTGTGAGATAGTAACTCACTGATGACAATGGTGGATGTGTCGCTCTATTTCGTGAATTAGTTGAACTTAGATATTAACATCATTGGACGCCAGCCGGCTCAATGGTGTCGAGACTAAAGGCTCGCACGCGAGACTGATAGATCCTGGGTTGGAATATCGCGAGACGGGATCGTTGATGCGCACTTCTGAGTAGTCCTATACTAGGATGAAACGGATGCCCAGCGTTTCTAAGTTTTCCAGGGTGGTCTGGCTTCAATTGCCTCATCAATTTAACTACAAAATACTTTCGTTATAAAAGAAAATCATCATTAAAAACATGAACATTAACCAACAGTTTCAGCAATGATATACATTTATTCCATACTTCTATGTCGTTTTTAAACACTATATAATTAGTGGCAAAATATTTAGTCAAACTCCAAATTACAAACGTATCAAGAGGAAATATCAGATTTCGGACACACTAATGCGTACTTTACCACTGATGAGCAGATTGTGTTGAAGATTTCTTTTGGGCATCACTCTATACAGCTATAGAAGAAAAAATTGATAAGAAATCAACAGTTTGATTCATGAATATAACGAGAACTCTAGCGAATTTGCCTTACTCAAGATAATTATGAATTCCTAACATGGATTTCCATTACACCGATTATTCATTTACCAATCAACTGTAATCATGTGAATGTTCGAGTCGTTGATGTGTGTTTCTCAATATGTATGAATGATGCACAGTCAGTCATTCAATACTCTCCTCATTTTATAATGTTTTCTATCTACTAACACACATTTCTCTCGTTTTCATAAATCACGTATAAAATACTTGGTTAATTGTAAGTGACTGCTTCATGTCATTTCATGGAAATTGATTTTCATGAAAATCATTTAAGTCGAATGGATGCAAAAAGTTCAAATCCAAATTACTGCATTAATCAGTGATAACTAGTAGGTGTTTCCATAGTATCAGACCACTACCATTCCTACAATTTCATAGAACATTCTCCAGAAAGTACAATTTTAGGTCAATCATATAGTGACTGGAAATTCAATTAATTGAGGTGTGTTTCAATGCATTGGATTCAGTCATATTGCTGTTATTATTAATATAGTATGGCCGACTATCAATTTTCTGTTTGATTATTAGCTCTTTCATTCAGTATTGCAAACAATTGTTTGTGGTTGACTGATGCGAACAACACGGGTCTACTTACCAATCAGTATATCTACTTGTAAATGTATTTCAATTGAGTTCAATATCGTAATGGGAAATGCGTTCAGGTTATCTTATGTGTTTTATTAGAAGTCAACGGAAGAGGTCGGTCAAACAAAATTATCATAACGATATTGAAAAGATGAATAGGAATGTTTATAGAAATGACACAGTGACGAGAGAAGTTTGTTTCATATGAATTAAACAAGATCGTATGGACGGTGGAAATCGTGTGTTACCACAATGAATACTCATATCCTTCTGGGATTGTCTATAAGTTTCTGACCTCCAATTCAGTCCATTTATACATAATAGAATTAGCTTTAAAGGAGTTTCCTTTCTCTGTTTATAATCCTTTTGGTTGGTTTGGTTAAAATGTTTCTATTTTGTTGCTTCTCAGCAGTGCCCATTCACGATCCCACTTGCGGGGTTCAAACCTAGAGAGAGCATGATCGTGGATACGCACTACTGAGGAGTCTCATAACATGACAAATTGGCCATTTTGTGCTTCCAGGTTTTCAATGATGATCTAACAACAATCGGTTCAAGATTTCAATCAATAACTTATTAATCTCCATAATCCTATGTTTGGCTTACAACAATAAAGTAACATGATATTCTATATTGACACTCCACAATTCTAAATATCTCAGTTGAATAAGATTGAAAGGGAAATAGTCAACATCATCAATCCATCGTCTTTGAACAAATAATATTGGTTATTTTTATTTATATAATATTTACTTTTATTTACAAGTGTTTATTTACTCAATTAGAATAACAAAATATTCCTCTCATTGGCAAAAGACACACAATTGACGAATAGTAAACAAAAAACCGTTTTTTTTAAAGATTTTCTTATCTACTTGGAATAAAATTATTTTTGTTTTTGGCAAGATTATAATTTATGGACGAACCAATCAGATATAAGATTGAACGGGTCTCGGATTTTGGCGCGGAATTTACTCATCCATTTGAATAAATCGAATTTCGGGATTATAGTTGATATCAGTTCATGATAAAAATCGCAAATCTAATTTCTAACATTAACGATCAGAAATAATACAAGTGAATTGAATAGGCTTACTAACAGTTAACTGTTAAGCTGGTAATTTTGTTTGTCTGAACTGAAATTGAAGTGAAATTGATACTTCAGTGACTCAATAATGTGAATATAGGAATTACATTAACACTTATGGCAAAATACTGATGTTTTGATGATAATTTAACTGTGTAGTTAGATAGTAGTTACGTTGTGAGTTGATGAACTAAAAACAGTCGAACAGTTTCAAATTACAAACCAGAAATTATACAAGTGAATTGAATGATTACTAACGGTAAACTGTTAAGCTGGTAATTTTGTTTGTCTGAATTAATGCGTTAACTTCTGGCGACGGGGATGGGGTAGACAGGGAACTAGGACAAATCAGAACACTAGGTCGTTCTTACGTGTTTTCCGTGTCACTGAATCGGTCAATAAAACGCTGCACATCTAATCTGCAGTCCACACGTTACAACAACTTCCAATAAAACACATACGATAACATAGAATTATAAGACGCTTTTTCCATTACGATATTGAACTTAATTGAAATACGGTATCAGTATTCATTGTTGTAACACACGATTTCCACCGTCCATACGATCTTGTTTAATTCATATGAAACAAACTTCTCTCGTCACT